AGAGAGTGAGAGAGAGAGAGAGAGAGAGAGAGAGAGGCCATACCGGCATCCATGATGGCTTCGTAAGTCACCTCCAATAAGAGCCTCGTTTGCGGCGCTAATCCTTTAGCGTCGAGACCAAAAAATTGTGAGTCGTATCTGTCGTAAGCATTGATTCGTCCCATTCTTCCCGACATATCATATATACCTCAATATGAAATAAAACCAAGAATTGATTTAAATATAAAACATTTTTATTAATTAAACATAACTTCTATAATTTAATGTACGTTCAATTAATAGATTTAATTAAATATTTACCGTCGATCATAGGATTTAAGTATAAATGAGATAAATTTAATTAATTAATTAACTATTTTAATGATTATAATTACAATACCTTTTGGCCAACGACTGTCATCATCGGTGACCAGATCTCTGCCATCGAACAGATTGCGGGCGAACTCATCGGTCGTGTCGGACAGTGGGAACCGACCACTCATTCCACTGATCACTACTTCATTCGATTCCCAAGTCTTCGCCATTTTCTACTTCAATGACATTTCAAAATGATTTCTTTGAAATGTGTTTCAGTTTTAATTAATTATTCAATTATGAAAAACATCTGAATTTATTGATTATTAATTTTTTAATTTCTAAAGAGTTTCTGTCAAGAGAGCGCAAAAGATAGGCTTTGCCAGATTCTTATATAAGTAATATAAAATATGTTAGATTGTAGTAACATTTTGTTGTTATTATTTGTTACATATGCATTGACCAAATTATGGCATAGATTTAAGCCAAAAATTTTAATAACCTCAATGGGTAAAGCGGTGTTAATAACGGGTATGTTATGAATATTATTTTAATTATTGCATTAACTTAAATTGATTTACACTAATAAAATTAATCCCATAATTACTGTATAGGCTGTGACACAGGGCTCGGCCACCACCTGGCGCTGCGTCTCAATGAACGCGGGTTTCGAGTCTACGCGACCGTCGTATCCGAGTCCAGTGCCGGCGCACAGCAGTTGACCTCTAAGGCACGGTTTGCCCATAAAATGCATGTCATAGGCATGGATGTGACCAAACATGATCAAGTTCAAAAAGCATACGATTACGTGACATTGCATTTAAATGAAAATGGTCATGGTGATTGCTTGTGGGCGCTGGTCAACAACTCGGCTATTGTTGACGATAGCCTCGTTGAGTGGGGATTACCTGAGATCTATGAACATGTATTTGCCGTAAACATGTTTGGTGTGATACGAGTCACTCGCACTTTTTTGCCCCTCATCCGCAAATTAAAAGGTTAGTTTTTTTAATGTTTAATATGTAACTATTAAAATTGTTTACTAAATACACTATTTTATATAGATCTCAGATGAACTGCATAAAATTAACTATTAAAATTAAATAATCTAACCCTTTCATTTATCAAAATTTGATATTTGATATGATCATGCATTTAGGTCGTATAGTGAACGTGGCCAGTGTTGCGGGTCACATATCTCCGCCACTGTGCGTGTGGTACTCAATGTCGAAACACGCGGTCATAGCCTTCTCGGACACATTACGCCGGGAAATGCGGTCATTTGGCGTACGCGTGGCCATTATAGAGCCCGGAGGGTTTAGCACTCAGGTTACCAACGAAACGCTCAGGCATGACAAGTTGTGTCGCACGTGGCAACACACTAGCGACCAGGTGAAACAAGCTTACGGTCCGATAAATGAGCATGATATAAAAGCGATGATCAGGGCCAGCATCGGTTTGTTCCAGCTCAGCACAAATCTCGATATCGCCACCAACGATATGATCGACGCCATACAGAGCGCTGAGCCCGGGCTCATGTATACACCGACCGAAAGCCTGATGGTTAAAATAATGGCAGCAATCATGGTTTGGATGCCATCCGCGTGGCTTGATCAAATTCTTGGCTTAACTAATCCGGTTAAATATTGTAATCATAATTAAATGTTTAATTATATTTGTTTTAGGGTTTTACTAATACTATTGAATATATGAATTGAATAAATGTCAGCTTTTGATTCACACAATTATTATGTTTAAAGGGTTGATAATTTTTGAACATTATGTTTAATTTTTAACATCTCTCTCTCTCTCTCTCTCTCTCTCTCTCTCTTGGTGTATACATGAGCCCGGGCTCAGCGCTCTGTATGGCGTCGATCATATCGTTGGTGGCGATATCGAGATTTGTGCTGAGCTGGAACAAACCGATGCTGGCCCTGATCATCGCTAAGTTTTGAAATTGCTATTAATAATATTAATAAATACGTTTGAACACAGCTAAATGAACAAATAAATGCAACAAAAATACAATTACGCAAAAATTACACTTTAATAAAATAATTTTCAATTGCACATTGCAAATAATTGCTTGTATATCAGTAATTAGTGTCAAATCTGATTAAAGCGCTGTTTCTAAATACTTTTCAACTAATTTAACCATTAACACGGCAAACGAATTATATGTAGCTGGCGGGTAAGATTCTTTCATCTCGCACTTTGTGGCCACCTTTACCCCCAACACGTGCTCCGTTCGGTTCAGCATTGCTGGGTAGAGATCGATACGTCTGTGGGAAAACTCCCTGAACCCATCGATGTCGTCGTGCATATCAATCACTTTAGCCCAGAAGTCACGGCCAACGCTGTAATTGTTTGATTAGTATAAGTATATTGCAGTATGTACTGCATTGTATACTATACGTATGCTTACCTGTATGTTAGTTATATTGAGTTTTAACTGCATATATGTTACACAACGACCCTATGATTGGTCAGTTCTTAGCACTCAGGAATGTTATACAACTCCTACTCCTCTTTTGCCTTTAAATAGGCTATGTTTCCCAACTCTCGGGGCTTTTTGTCGCTTAACTCTCTTACTGTACGTAAGAGAGGTTATAATACACCCTTCGAAAGCCTTACATTATAACATGTAATACTTATATAACTTTGTGTTTTATATTAAATACTTTTTACTTATAAAACCGTGTATTTAATGCTAAACCTTTTTAAAAAATAATAATAACTAATAACGACAGCAACCTGTGACAGTCAACCGGACACAGCGGTCACAGAGTGGGCACAGACCTAGAGACCTGAGCTAATGACCTAAGGCTCAGCGGACGGATGACAGCGCATCAGAGGTGAGATACAGGTAGCGCCCGCTCTAACGCACTCGACTGACGCCGGGAGTTGACGGTCACAGCGAATGACCAACTAATCGGCATTCATGTTGCAATATTATTAATATGAAAATTCTTATTTATGATTATTAAATTTTAACATGTACTAGACGATCAACTCGTAATTTATATAAAGTAGAAGCCTCCTG